GGACACAACCACCAAATGTAGTCTTTGGTTAGATCCTGGCTTTGTTAGTCTACTTGTGCTGCTATAACAAAATGCTTTAGATTATGTTTTTTATAGAAATTTGTTTCTCAAGTCTATAGGCTAAGAAGTCCAAAATCAACACTATACAAATTTGTTATTTGGGAGGAGCTTATTCTGTTTCTAAAAATGACACAGTTTTATGGCATTGGCATAGGACTGAGGGGCTAACTGCAGCCTTTTAATGAAGGCTATAATCCCATTCATGGAGGGGGAGCCTTGAGGATCTAATTACCTCCTAAAGGCTTGGTGTAATTACCCTGGGGGTTCAAAGGAACACAAATAGCTGCAGGGCATGGGTGAGGTGGCTCATGCCTGTCATCCCAGCACTCAGGAGGCTGAGGCAGGAGGATCATTGTGAGGGTGAGACCTGTGTAGGGCCCTACACAGTGAGCTCAAGGCCAGCCTGAACTGCATAGTGAGATCCTGTCTCAAAACAAACAAGTAAATAAATGTAAGAAGAAAAGGGACATAAATATCAACAATAGCACTGATTAGCTGATTATTACTAATTGACTATGATCTTTCTTTGTGTTTGAAATTTTTAAAAATAAAAAGTTAGAGGTGGGGGTAGAAACACAAGAAGTTCCAGCTAAATATTTTTTTAAAACTTACTTGGGGTTATGTTTTGGTAGTAACCTGGAAAGAGAGGGAGGGAGAGACTTTGAAACAGAGACTTCAAAACTTGTTCTCTATGAAGTTGGATTAAGGTGCTGTATATTTTTGGCAGATACTTTCAGAGTGCTTTAATAAGGAGCATAAAGAATATTTTCTTAAGGGCTAACCCTTAAGATAGAGAAACTTAAAAGGGAAGAGGATGCAGTTCCTGGTTTTGAAACACGCTCATCAGCCTGAATCTTTAATTACAACTTTTTTGGAGTTCACGGTTTGTTGTTCTCATTAATCCCCAATCAGAGATTTGAGTCATCCCACTAAATCCGCAGGATTTACGCACATAGAGTTTGTTACTGAGCAGCTGAGCTTCGCAGTTTCCAGGGATGTGATACATGACACCCTCTGCCCTTTTGCTCTGTGGTGTCTCCTGGTTTTCCAAGCCGGAGCAGAGCCCAAGATTAGGGCAACCTATACTTAAGGGTGTGTTTCTGCAGATGCTGGTTGGCACTTGAATGTAGGAGTGATTCAATGCTGAAGACAATATGGAAACTTCTCCGGGATGGGGTGGGGGAAACATTTCTGGTACAACAAGTTTAAGTTTAGCAAGGCCTGAGCTTGATTTCAGGCAGGCAGGGGAGTGGGAGCTGGGGTTTATTTACTTAAGGTACGAGTCTGTCAGCTTTCCCAGTGAGGGGGTACACACGGGAATGGGGGCGGTCTGTAAAATAACTTGGAAACCTGACCGCACCTCCTTTTCAGAAGAGGGCTGGAGGAGGTGTCTTGCGGGTGGGGAAGAGTCCAGGATCTCTTCTGGACGTCAGGGAGGAACGGTGACCCCAAGGGACACAGCCCCACACAGACTGAAGCGTCCCTTCGGATGTGCGTGAAGTCAAAGTGGATTCTGAGCAGATCCACGCCTCCCACTTCTGCTTGGGGAGCAGGATCCCCGAAGCTGCTTCATCACTCCCCGCGATTCGCTGTCCCAGCAAATTCCCCTGCCGCACCCCGAGCCCGCTCGCCTCTTCCCGGGGTGGGCGCCCCGCGCCCGGCAGGCACACCCGGGGGCTCGCTCGCTCGGGTCTCCGGACAGCCCGGGCTGCAGCGCGCGCTCGCCAACTCCGGGAAAACTTCCTCCCAGGAGATGCTGGGCTTTGGGGGGGGGGTCCCCCAGCCCTCCCACGCCCGGCCTGCAGCAGGCATTAAAGGAGGGCTGCAACGACCGCTGCCACCCGCCCCGCAAGTTCTGAGCTGCGGAGACGCGGCGCAGTAGCACGAACGCACCGGGACGCGGTGGCCGCGGGCGCCAGCTCCCGGCGAGGCCCGGCGGGGCGGGTGCGGGAGACTGCGCCACGATGCTTTGTTTTCCTGCCGCAGGAGCGCGGGGCGGCCTCTCCCCGCCGCGCTTAACCCGCTCGCAGCTGTAGCCATGGAAGTTGCGGCGGCGGCGGCGCAGAGTGGTGAGAGGGGACTCCTCGGCCAGGCGTCTGCTTCGGATGCTTTTTCTCTGCACAGATCTCTGCTTTCCTCCTACTCCGGGTAAGTGGATTCAGTCCGCAAATAACCAAAGAGTAGCCCTGAAAGTGAGGAAGGAGATTATAGCAGACAAGCGGTTAGTGCGTGTGTGTGTGTGTGTGTGTGTGTGTGTGTGTGTGTGTGTGTGTGTTTGTCCTTTTGGGGCTAGACCCCCGCCCTCAAGTCCATTCCTCATAATGCAGTGTAGGAAGAGCTGAGTTTGATTTTAAGCACATGACTGGGGAGGTGCTGGATTTATTTACTTATTTCTAGTGGACCCCTTCATCCCCAACCAAACTTGTCTTTGAACGCACTCTAGGCAGGGAAAGTGAGAGAGGAGATGAGAACAGCCCCAGAGGTCAAGGGCTCAGCAAAGGAAAAGCAGGAGGAGGTACCCAGGGATTTAGCTGGGAGATGGGTCTATGGCAAGTAGCCCCTACAAAGCCTTTTACTCAGACCTGCTCCTAGGCCAGTACCATCCACCCCAAACCTCCCTAGTCTCCCTGGGATTGCACCTGGGAAAGTCTTTCAGTACCAAGGACTAAAACAACTTCTAATGAGGGCCTGCATACAGTAGCTCAATAAATGCTTGTTGATGGGCTGATTGATGATGCATCCTTAAGGCTATGTTTTGTACCACGGAAATTTGCCCTGTACGGTGAACTAATTCCTTAATATTGACCCTAGAGTGTAAAGATTTGATCCCAATTTATTTTGCCAAGAAGGAGGGGCTGGAGCCTTGGGTCATGGAGTACTTAGCTCATCAGGCTGTACTCTAAAGAACCTATCTGAGAGCTTCTTGGTGAGATTCACGGGGCTGGGGACCAGGTGAGCTGACGAACTGCTGGCACATAAGGTATGGGCCTCGGGATGGAGAAACTTGGGTTTGAGTATCTGCACTGTGACCTTGGGCATGTTTCTTTATCCTCCCGAGCCTTGGTCTTCTCATCTGTAAAACGAAATCAGTGGGCGATTAGAGAGATGTAGCAAAGATGAGCAGAGAGGGAGGGGATCAGAAGGAGAAGGCTGATGCGGGAGACTGACTGTGTGACTGATGAGGCTAAAACCACTGCAGGGCAGTGTGTGGGTGACAATTCCGAAGGGCAGGGCAGAGTGAAGCTGGGAAGTGATTAGGAAGGGGCCCACTTTGGCCCTGGGGGCACAGGTCTCTGAGGGGACTTGGTAGAAGAAACAGATTCCCTTGATCTCATTTCCTGGTCTCTGCATCCTCCCAGTCCAGCCAGCAGAGGAGGCAAAGTGTGGCCACAGAGTCCAGGGAAGGCAGCTTGGAAGCACCCGAGGAAAACCACCAAAGGCTTGGGACCAGGCTGACCCCAGCCTGCTCTTAGGGATCCGGCCTGGGGGGCTTTAGTGACATAGCACTTATTAACCTTTCCACTGACCCCAGTGGACCTCCAAGAATCTTGTCCCTGGACCTAGAGACCTGGCATGATAGGAGGGGATGGATGCGAGGACGGCACTGCTGACACAGGGGTCCCCAGCTCAAGGTGCCTTAGTGTGGCCTGCAATTCAGACAACAGCAACGCTGCGCCCAGGCTAGACAGGAGGGGAATGGTCATTTCGTCCTTTATAAGGAAAGGCAACAATGTACCAGGAACTTTGGACAGCAGGTAGTGAGTCCTATGATGGAAAGGTCCCCAGCGATCCGTATTGGCCACATGCACTACAGCGTGCATGATGAGAGCACACATAAGGGCCAAATCCACGGACACGTTGAAGGAACAGTGACTTGAATCTGTAAGTCCCCATGGCTATGATCTTAGGAAACTTCCTATCCAACACTGCTGCATGAAATTCATGCCTCCATTTAGCAAATATTTCTTGAGCGATTACTATGCGGGAGGCTCCTTTGGGAGGCTTCCTAGGGAATTTGTAAGCATCATTCATTCATATTATTACTTTAAGTGGCCCATGTAAGAGCACCTCCGCAGCACCGTTCAGGCTCATCGGGAGGCCAAGGCCTGGGCGAAACCCATGTTTCTGGCGGGGGCAGCTGCTCTTTGGTAACTGGGCTGGGGGCATTTAGCACTTACTGGTGTTTGGTCCCCGGGGCCCGGTTTTGGAGCCGCCCTGCCTTGGTAACTCCGCTTTCCTCTAGGGCTGCCGCGCCTCTCCAGCCTCCTCCCCAGCCTCCTCGCAGGCGCCCCAGTCGGTAGCTGGGGAAGAGACCGAGCCGCGCCTGGGGAGCGAGCTTTCCGAGTGGGGAGCTGCCAGGCTGTGCAGAGCCGGGCCAGAACAAAAGGCTCATGGCTGGCACCGGTCTCCGCGGAGTGCGGTGCGGACGGGGGTTCGGAGCTCAGGCGGAGCAGGCGCGGGAAAGGACCGGAGTGAAAAAATGAAGTGACAAAGGACGAGGAGGAGGAGGCGCGCAGGGTGGGAGCAGGGAGAGGAGGTCACCCTCGAGGCCGAGGGCCGCCGGGGGCTGCGGCGGGGCCGCGGCGGCCCTTCCTCCGCCTCCCGCAGAGCCTTCCAGGCAGCCAAGCGTGTCTCCGGCTGCAACTCCGCGAGCGCACCGCGGCCGGCCGTGCCAGTGAGTAGCAGCGCGCCCGCCGCCCGCGCCCTCGCCCCGCCCGGCTCGCCGCCGCCGCCCACCGCCTCCGCCTCCCGCCGCCGCCGCCGCCTGGGGCCAGGCACCGGGGTCCCCGCGCCCCGCCGCCCCGCGTGCCGGCCCTCCGCGTTCTCCGCGCGGAGCGGCACCTGCGGCGCGCCACCGGGAGGGTCCCCGCCGCCGCGCGCTCCCCCGGCGCCGCGCCACCCCTCCGTCCAATGGCTTTCGCGGGGAGGGGAGCGGGGGGCGTCGCCGGGGCCCGGAGCCGCGGCCGGGGAGGGGCGTGTGCTCTGTGCGCCGCCGAGCCCGGCTGACGTGCCCGCCGGAGCGCGCGTCCGGGAGTGTGTGCGGGTGTGTGCGGGAGTGCGTGCGTACACGCCTTCGGGGGCTGGAGCGACACTGCAGTGGGCTTCGCGCGAGCCTCGGCCTCCCGGCCGCTCAGCCCCCAGCCCCAGCCGCCGGCGCCGCTCTGGGCTCTTTCTCCTCCCGAGCCTTCCTCTCCATCCTTCCATCCACCCCTCGCCAATCTTACTTTTTCTTTGACCCACCCGGCTGCAGCCAGCCACCTTGTCAAGCGGTGCCAACCCCCAAGCGCTCTCCCTACACCAACATCCTCCTACCTGGCTTTCTGTGGCGTTCCTCCTCCAGCCAGTCCAAGGCTCCCCCATCCTTGGAAATTGTTTTGTTGGACTGCTCTACCCAGGCGTGTATAGCTCGAGGACTTAATTATTATTTTGATTTTTTTCATTCCCTCCCCTTCTGGGCAACGGAGCAATGAAATTTCCAATCGAGACGCCAAGAAAGCAGGTGAACTGGGATCCTAAAGGTTGGTATTTCCTACTTTTGGCAGCCTCGCCCTGCCTCCGTTTCCTGCGAGCAAGAGCGAGCGATTCCAGGAATGGGACACTCCTGCTCCTCCTGCCACCTTGTGTCCCGAGGCGAAGAAACGCGCCGGGGATCCGCGGCGCGGGTGGGAGGAGGGCGGAGGCAGCCTGGGTTCGGACCCAGTTCTCGCCTGTCATTACCACATAATCATTGTCCCTTTTGGATTGTCTCGCAATCTACTTTTAAAGATACACCACGCCGGCTGTTTGGTTTGAAATTGCACCAAGGGTTGGGATCTGCCTTTGACTTTGTGTGCCTCTGTGTGTGTGTGTGTGTGTGTGTGTCCTTTGTTTCTGGTGATCTTTGTCTCTCTGGCAGATGGGTGCGGTGCCTCCCCCTGGACTTAGAGCTGGGCCACATGCCCTGGGTGGCCTCGGTGGGAAAGGTTTCCTGGCAGCGAGCGAGACTGAGATCTGGAAGCAGTGATCCCTGGGGGCGGCCCCTCTCTAAAGCGCACAGAATAATGGTGCCCTCAGGGCTTCCCGAGGCTTCCTTCAATCTTGTTACTACACCAGGGCGGCTAGTTTGGCTCAGGTGAGGGTGGAAGGGGCCGCAAAGGTGATGAGGAGGGTGGGGTTGAGGTTCCCTGCGGGTGGGACGGGAAAAGGCTGGGAGGGGCAGACAGTGTGCCCTCCAGCAGTGGGGTGGCTCCCACGCCTTTACCCACTTTTGGAGGCCCATCTCTGTGTGCCTCGCGTTGACCACGGTGTCCTGTGGTCACTGCTGGAGCAGAGGAAGTTGCAGGCGCTGTCCAGGTGTGACTGGAACGTTGAGGCTTTGCCTTAGCTCATCTGAAAGCTGAGTTGCACAAGGCATTGTCTCTGTGTGTTTTGGAGTTCAGATTTATTTGAGGAGAGAGTGTGTGTTTAAGGTCCTTTAGGAGTGCATTGCTTCTCTAGACTGGAAAGCCTTATGAATCAACTTACTATTTGTTTGTTTGTTCATTGATGTTAGGGATTGAACTCAGGACTTTTGCCCTGAGCTATATTCCAGCCCTTCAAAATTTCTTTTTATTTTGAGACAGGATCTTAATCAATTCCTAAATTGCTCAGGCTGGACTACTCAGGCTTGTCATCTTCTTGCTTTGGCCTTCCCAAGTGCTAGGATTACAGGTGTGTGCCACCACACCTGCTTTGGTTGTTGAAGAGTGACAGAGGGGCTATGTACTTTGAAATCACTGCGGTGTTTTTTTTTTTTAACATCTTACATATAATCTAAACCTTGTATTTTGTCTCTGATCTTCAGAGATAAAGAAATGGGGCTTTTTTAGATCCCTGCAGGACATATCTATCAAATATACATGACACAGAAGCATAGTGCTAGTCAGAATGGGACTGACAGAACTCTACCTTCTTAGAATTTACGCTGAGGGTAACAGCTTTATTACAGAACAGAGGTGTGCATAATTGAAATTTATATGCATCTCATGAACATCAGGATTTTAAGTCGGGATTGAGGAGGACCAAGGGATGCTCGTGATCAGGGAGGCTTCCCTGAGATTACAGCTGTAGTGAGGTTGGAGAAAAGTTAACTGACCAATGAGAAGGAAAAGGGCTTTCAGGAGAAAGAATGGCAAGTGCAAAGGCCCTGAGGCAAAAGGAGCAGGTGTGTTTGAGGAACTGAATGGAGGCACAGGATCAGATTCTAAAACCCTTGCTTGGGTGAGGTAGGGTTGTGGCGCAGGAGGAGGAGTGCAGGCTTTAAGCCCCAAAGAGTTTCAAGCAGGAAAGTGATTGAGCTGAGCTAAGTTCCATAACAAATCCTGTGTGGCTGTCGTGGGTGCAAAGCTAGGAGCAGGCAGAGTGGTGCAGGGGGCAGCGCGGTGGCTGTGGGGACGGAAAAGTGTGCAGAGCTCCAGAGGACGCGAGTGTAGTGGCTTTTGTGTGGATAATGTGTGGAGGTGGGTACATTGCAATGCCTGGCTTGGCAGCCAGGGCAGGAGCACTGTGGCGCAGGCTCGGGATTCCCCCATCTGTGACTTGCTGAGCTGGCCGTGTCCCGGAGGCATCTGGGTGAGGGGCTGCCAAGTGGGCACTTGTCTACAGGGTGTGGCACAGCACACATCTTTCCAGGAGCTCCCACAGAGCAGGAGCACTGTGGGGCTGACTTTGGCACGCTGGCTTTGACTTTAAAAACACGTTTCTGTAGGATCATCAGCCTATACATTTACAGCCTGGTGTTAGACACAGATGACATTTCACAGTCTGAACAGTGAGGACAAGCGTACATGTAGCATATACAGTTACAAGTACTGCTAAAAATAAACAGCTCAGTAAAAACAGCAGCATTTAAAGAGCGGGTGTTGCACGCCAGGTGTTTGATGTATATTATTTCATAAGTATTTTCACAATGCTTCTCCCATGGCGTTGTTGTCTCATTTGATATGATACTTGCCATCATGACACTAGTGCGTGCTCTGACTTCATGCGTGGCTGTTCTTAAAAGCGGAGAGGGCAAGCAGTCTTTCCTAGCTGGGGGATGAAGGGAAGAGGAGGATGGTGAGACAGTGTAGCATATTTCACATCTCTCTAGAACAATGCACCAGACAATGGCCTAACACTTTTATGTATGCTAATTTATTGAATCATCACAAAAAGCTTAGGAGAACGGTGCCACCCTAGTTTTACAGATGAAGAACCCAGGGCTTCCCCACCCAAGATCGCACAGCTTGTAGGTGGCAGGGCTTGGGTAAAATCTGGGCTCCTGGGCTGGGGATTTAGCTCAGCGGCATAAGCACCTGCCTTGCAAGCAGGCAGTTGTGAGTTCGATTCCCAGTACCGATAAAAAGGAAAAAGACAAAAAAAAAAAAAAAAAAAAGTTAAAAACAAAATCTGGGCTCCTAACACTTTTCTAGGGTTCTACCAGACTCTTGCCAAGGCTCAGGGGCCGAAGAAGCTTGCTAGGAGAAAGACAAAGAAGAGACAGGAGGAAAAGGAAGAAGGACTGGGAGGGGAGGAGGAGAAGACAGAGTAGAAGGTGTGGGAGGAAGGGGAAGGAGTAGGCAGGGTCCCTATTCACTCTACCTCTCTTGGTCAGCGGCATCTTCCTTTGTCCATCAGGTGGACCAGCCTCTGGCCCCTGGACGGACTTTGAGTCTGTCGTGTGGAGGCCCAGGTGTGCACACCAAGTGCGTTTAGCATTACGAGGAGGAAAGGGATGCTGGCATTAGAATGGCAAAGCAGAGGGGCCATTCCTATCACAGGGACATAGGCTGTTAACAAACTTGGACCCTCGAGTGGAGATGCTCATGAGCTGTGGAAAGAATTATCACTACGGTGTTTTGCTTACAGCCCCAGTACCTGACAACTTGATAGTACCAAATGATGGTGGGCTGAGAGCAGGCGGGGTTTGATTGCTCTTGGGTGCATTAAGCAGACACTATCAAGGGGTGGCGGTACAAAAATAAGGCCTAAATATAACATGATTGGTCTCTGGTGAGCCCTGGCCTTCCCCACAGTTGCAGACCTGAGCCTTAACAAAGGGTTGCTGTCAGAGTGGAACTTATGCAAGGGCAGGTGAGCACGAAGCAGAATCAGGTGCATGTCCAGTCACTAGGATCACTTAGTCATGATGTGCTGCTTAAAATTGAGATTGTCACTGCTTATGTATGTCAAGAACTTTTATTTATCATCATCATCATCATCATCATAAACATCTTTCTTCCTTTTTTTTTTTTGGACCAGGAATCAAACTCAGCACTTGCATTTGCCCAGCCAGCAATTGTGCTGCTGAGCTATATCCTTGGCCTTCATTGTCGTTATTTGTGAGACAGGGTCTTGCTATAGTTCAGGTTGGCCTTGAATGTACTGTGTAGCCCAGGATGGCTGGTGATCGTCCTGTCTCAGCCCCCCAAATGCTGGGACTACAGGTGTGTGCTACCATGCCCAGCTGTTACTGTATTTGGAGCTTTTAAATACCAGTAAAATCAGTAAAGAGTATTCTCAGGGCTGGAGGTAGGCAGATCAATATAGTATACCATCTCAGGACTTGGAAGCAGAAGAATTAGGTTCTACAACCAGTTGTAGCAGTAATTATCCATGTGACTTTGGGCTGCTTGTTCACCCTCCCAGTGATAGGCTTCCCTTTCTTCCCAGGCAGGAAGAGGCCATTGACACTATCTTTGTGCATCCTCACCCTTCTTCAACTGACTTTTGGGCCACTTGGCTTTCTTCTGTTTCTCAAGTAAATGATCTCTGTTTCTCAAGTAAATGATCTCTGTTCCTGCCTCAGGCTGTACAAATAAGGAAAAAGGGGGCACATCCTCAAATAATGTGAACCAGAAATGACATGATACTTCCACTCTTTCATGGGTCTTTTAAGCCTCAGAAACAATTTTCCTTCTTTTGTCCCCTTTCACTTGGGAGAAAAACCTGAATGGGAGAAGTCATGGGTGAGTGGCTCATTTAGCCTGACACAGATATGGTCAGTGTTCAGTTAGTAATGGATCGTGTTAGCCGTCGGAGTGGGGCAATTCTCAGGTACTTTAATCCATTTAAGAAAGTGGCAAAACCACAGAATCGGAGCTGGAGTTTTCCAAAGCTACATTTTTAGTGCGTATTTTCGATTCATAATTCCAGAGTCCTGCATTGTATGGTGTCTCACCTTTCAGTTTACAAAACGCTTTTTACAAATGATCTCATTTGTTAAGTAATTCTATTTTTGTAGATATGAGAGTCTTAGATTTACCAACAGGTGAACTCAGATCTAGAGAAGGCAAATTACTTCTTTGAGGTCCCAAACTATAAACAGTTAGACCTGAGGCCAATCTAAGACTTAAGGTACATCTAGGGTGGTTTCTCTGAGCTTTTTTTCCTTCCAGTCTGTTGGTTCCACGCCCTCCACTCCTTCTAGTTGGAAAGTGTGTTCAAAAGTTTCTCTGACATACTTAGAGGAACAGGTGGCGCTTTTGATCAGTGAGCCTTCACCTAAAGACCATTTACA